GTCTGTTTTCGTCACCCCCACGCCAGGTTTGATTTTCTCACAGCCTAGTTTACTTTATTGCCATAGTCTTGTCTTTGTTCCATAGCCATAGTTTTTTCACGGCCTTGTTAACCGTATTGCTTTGATACTTTGTTCATAGTTTTTTCCACAGCCTTGTTTGTTGCTTTTGCCATAGCCTTGTTTACTCTTACTTTGATACTTTGCCTCAGTCATGTTAAACTTGCTTTGTTACTTTGTTCATATTTTTTGCCACAGCCTTTTTTTTAACTTTGTCTGGACATCCACTCTTTGAGAGTGCTTTTGTTACAATAAACCCTGTTTTTCCATATCTCCGCGACTGAGTCCTCCCTCCTAGACCCACCCTCGTGACATTTTCTGTGAGGTTTGAAATCCCTTTTCCTTTCCACATAGGCATAAACACCATGGGGCTGTACAGAATCGGGGGGGTCAACTCCAAAGTGCAGAAGCTGATGACCACAGTCTTCTGTAAGTAGAAGAAATGTAAACGACTCTAGACCCTCCGTGTGTAACAACATTTAGCTCAACAAGCTGCGTTTTCTACTTATATACAATATTATTTTCTCTTTCTGTGTGCATGCACAACCCTGATCTGTAGACAGATCGTTCAGAGTGAAGGAAGAGCTCCTCTCAGTGGTGTGAGAGTGAAACAGCCATCTGCCCTCACGTTACTCTGTCATTACCTTATTAGATTATAAAAGGTAATCCTGTTTGCATATATTTCATACATGTGAACAGGAAATGTCAGAGTGAATTACCAGAATCACTCTTAAGCTCGAGCTCCATCTCCTTCAGACTCCACGCGTGCACTCGTGTGCATGCAAATTCGGAGATTCTCCCCTTTTGTTTATCTTAACAGGCTTTTTAATAAGCAGTCTGCCGTCTGTCTGGATGACTTTTCTGCAGCAGGTTTTATAGCTCGAACTCTGTGTTGATGCAAAAACGTGTTTCCAATAGCATCCAAAGCTCCGGTGGACATGGACCTGGATCCGGAAATGTGGGACAACAAAACAATCACCAGTGGTTTGAAGAATTACCTCAGGTCAGCTCGCCCCGCTGGCTTTATGTCCTTAACTGTCATCATCATTATTGCCTCCACAATCCCTCTCCGAGAACTCCCCGCTGTTAGTCAGGCACTCTGTGACTCCGGAGGGGGGGGGGGGCTGCATTCAGAGGACCCGTGTCATTAAATAACAGTCGATTACTGACGCTCTTCTTTCCATCAGGTGTCTCTCTGAGCCTCTCATGACCTTCAAGCTGCACAAAGATTTCATCATGGCTGTCAGTAAGTTGTGAGAAAAGGAACTTCCTATTGATGTTTTGCTTGTGCTCTTGGTTATTTGGTTAAATACACGATATTTCTGAAAACTGAATAACTCACGTATATTCCATGAAACATGTTATTCGTTTTAGTCTAACAATGCTACATCCATGTCCCGCTAGTAGGAAAATCAAAGGAACAAAGACCAAACCAATTAAACCCTTTCTAACTTCGAAAATGGCTCCATGCTGTGTTCATCCTCTAATTCACGCCAAATCAAGTTGAGAAGTTAATTGGTTTAATCTGTTCTCATTTGCATCTGTTTGAAACATTCGGAGAGTTTCTGGAGCTAAATTTGAATGCGAGAATCAGTTTTTTTAAACAATAAATTGACTTTTTTTCTTTTTTCTTTGAATGTATATAGAACGTTCACCTAAAGAACTGTAATTACACTGGAATAATAGCTTTTGTCAAGTCAACGATTGCCGGCTTTGTGCTTTCAGTGTCAGATTATGAGCTCCTTGATTATAATTGGTTCCTTTCCTTTTCCTCAGAGTCAGACGACCAGAACTACCGTGTGTGTGCCGTCCACGCTTTGGTCCATAAACTGCCTGAGAGGAACAGGGAAATGCTGGAGCTGCTAATAAAACACCTTGTGGTGTAAGTTTTTTTGTTGTTTTTTTATTAGAATGGTCAGTTAAATCTTGGAAAATATACTAAAATGTTACATTTTTCACCTGCATTTTTGTTGGTATCAAGAAAGTTTTCATCCTAACATGAAAATGAAATTAAAATGGGGCGTGTCAGCAGAGGTTTTGTCATGCGGGTGGAACTTGGAGGAGGACTCAGTCGCAGAGATTCAGAAAACAGGGTTTATTGAAACAAAAACAGACTCAAAAAGAGTGGATGTCCAGACAAAGTTCAAAACAAGGCTGTGAGAAAACTATGGACAAAGTATCAAATCAAGATTAACATGGCTGTGGCAAAAGTATCAAAACAAAGTAAACAAGACTATGGCAAAACAGGGCTATGACAAAAACGTGGCTATGGTACAAAAAAAGACTATGGCATGGCTGTGACAAAAAATCAAACCTGACGTCGCGAGGGGTGACGAAAAGTGACGAAGACGCACTGGCACAGGACATGGGAAACGAGGACTATTTAAACACATGAGACCCAAAGAAAAAAAGTATCTTCAAATTTCTTTTTTGTTGTGATTTTCCATGTATTTGGACCTAAAAAAGAACAGTACAATTTAAATTTTTTTTAAAATATTTTTAATTTTAATTTCATAGCATGTCCACTGTGGAGGACAACAGGACGATTTGCCTGGGAAAATAGAACAGGCTTTAGATAATTAAATAATAAAAAAGAAGATGTCTTGAAAGCGATATTTACCTAAGAACTCTTAGGAAAAAAGTAAAGTTCCCAGCATGCAAACCTATCACATGGCACATCACTGGAAAGCCCAGGATGTGCTCTACAGAACACTATAGGGCTTTATAGGGTAACTCCAGATACTTAGGGGGGTACAGGTGGACAAAATGTCCACTATAATGGACATAAACGAATGGGCCGGGTCTCAGGAGGATATACACATGAGGGGGGGGAACCCCAGGTGAACACAATAGGTAATCAACACATGACGAGACACCAGACATTCCCCCAAACGTGACAGGTTTTATCTTCTTCCTGCAGGGTTTCTGCCCAGAACCAGTCCAACCTGATGACTGTGTCTAACCTGGGCGTGATCTTCGGCCCGACTCTGATGCGCTCTCAGGAGGAAACGGTGGCGGCCATGATGAACATCAAGTTCCAGAACATCGTGGTGGAAATCCTCATTGAGAACTTCAACAAGGTGAAACCCCAAATACATGTATATAAGTATTAGGGATGGGACGGTTTCTGAAAACCGTCTGAACCGTTCGGTTCGACTGTCTCGGTTCGGTTCGCGTGTGTACCGCACGGTTCATGCACTGCTCCTTTTTCTCAGAGGGAAGCGTGTTCACTCCAGAGCAGAAGGGGGCGCTACTGCACCCAAAGTCAACCACCAGTAGGATACAAGAAGAAGAAGAAGCAGCGTAGCCAATAAAAATCTGACGCGCCAACAGCAGTTTCTAGGTCTGCTGTATGGACCAGTTTGCATTTAGAGGGAAGCACATGTTGGAATTAGCACTATTTCCTCTCTGGCAATGCCAGAATCTCACCTACTTTTAACCTAAGACTGTCACAATAATGGATCAAATGTCAGACTGCTTTTTTCTTTCAGTTTTTACTAGGGATGGGGATCGAAACCCGGTTCTATCAAGGACCTGGTTCCACTTTTTTCAAAACCC